CTTAGTACATACTACTACAAATAGCATCGTATTTGCTAGTAGGTTATTACTGCACCTTTTGTCTAGTATAATGAGTGAAATCAAGTAATTAGGATGACTACAAATCCTGACTTTGGTAAGGAGTACAATAATAAAGGTTTTTTTTCTTTTTTTACTTAGCTCATTTTAAACAGCTAAATTATCGGTTGCTGGCTTGGCTACTCATATTTTTTTAATTTTTACTCAATTATGGCAGTAAGGATGGATCATCTGATTCGTCTGAACTGAAAATTTCGCATGTAAAAGCTTGGCTCTATTAGACTATAGCGTGGAGGCCATAAAGTTAATGATATCAATGAGATACAGTAGGTTACTCTTGATATAATTGTTGCTCAATTTTTGTCAAATCCAATGCTCATTTTTATTCAAGACGTCAGCTGCTGTAAATGTTAGACTAAGCGGAGTGCACTATGCCGAATTCAGTGAGATCGAGGAATTTGGCGTTAATGAATGACGAACTAGTTCCGCAAAATCGTAAATGGTCGCACGTCATTGTAAAGATATATGCTTAATTAAGCTTGAAAGTGTGCATCAAATACCGACGAATGAAAATCATTGCAACTTGAATATTGAGACCACTATTTTCTAGAGGGTTAGTTTATAATACCCGCACTTTTAATCTTTCAGCCTGCGGAGGAATCCGTTTTGCAGAATATGGTGGAACACTGCAGTCCCCTGGTTTTCCAGGACCCTACACAATATCACAAGGGATCACCGAATGTATGTGGGTAATAAAAACAAGAAATATGAATCCAGGTGAGTTAATATCAGTTCATTTAAATAAGAACTGATGAAAAGTTTTTCCTATTTAGTAATTGAATTGGCTCATTTCGAGGTATATTTGATAACTTTTTATGGAGTTAGGATATTATGACACAAATTATTCTTGTAATAAAAATTGTAATGTTTCGGATATTTGGGTGCTTTAAACTAAGCCATATTGGATTTAGATATGAAGATCAAAATGATGTGGCCTTTTGTATGGTCGCGGTCTCCTTTCGTTCTATAGAAGTTGTTTGACCTTGTTCTTACAACTTTGCCGTTTTGGCAGGAAGATCTAGAGGAACGCAGCTTGTCCGGAGTCAATAGTATTCGTGACAATCTCCACAGTCGGACCGTAGACTTGGTACATTCCCAGACGTTTCGTCGGCATCGTATTCGGCATCTTTAGTGAGCCTTGCCAGTCTTAGCACCATACTACGACTCGTCAAAGAGACAAGTGATCAATTATTTGCTCAACAGTATCTATCTTTCTGTTCAGGGCTATTCACCTATTCTATATCCCTGTAGCACTTCTTCTCTATCACAATTTCTTAATTATTTATTCAAATGTGGTATGGTATGCCCTTTTGAGCGGATTTCATGAGACCTCTTCACACCTCATGCTGGCTTTTTCACCCCACCCTCTACAATTGTGCTTGGAACGTTGATCTGAATCTGCCATATTATTCCGCAATCCTCTTTCCATAAGTCCTATCATAATCTCCCTCCTGCCCTGAAGACCCCGTCGCCTATCTTCTTGGTTCAGTTATTCCATCTGACCTCTGACACCATATTTGTGCTAATCGAGGCGTAATTTCCCACACTCTGCCTCCATCTTTTGATGCACTTTTACTCCAGTCTCGTTGAAGAGGCCCACCAAGCTTGGATTCTTAAGATTGATGGGAGACTAACATGAGGCTATAGAACCCGAGTAATTCTCCTCGTCAAGCCTTTGCTTCATGGAGCACTTCTATGATCAAACACGTCTACTATTAGCCAACAAGTTCATGTCTCTGCCACATCACTAGTCCTTCTATCCATAGTTTCAAGTCTATGATTTCCTATTCCCCAGCCTATTGTGTGCCAACCAACATGTGATGCGGTTCTATATTAGTTTAATTAGGCTCACTGTAGACTTCTTCTCTTGGTTTCTGAATGTTTCTTTCTGGTCTCCTTGCGATTTTTTTTCCTAAAAGTAAGGATGTTACCTTAAGTCAGTCGTTTTCTATCTGCTGATCATACTGTTGCTTGATCTTCTCCGGGTTTGCTTAGGCAATATGCAAAGATTTCTCTGACCCTGTCTTTTTCAAATCTCCAGTTATTTAGATTTCCTTCGGTCAGTATATCGAAGGCCCATTGGATCTTGCGTTTTCTTGTATTTTCACTATATTCACCCAGTCGTACTGTCGATTTTCAGTCGCATTCGTGTCCCATCCGTACAATGAATTTCGCTATTTCGGATCTTTGCGCATCAATCTTTTTACAGAATTTGATATTCCTTAATTAGTAGTCCGATTTCACCTATATACTTCTGCTCACAGTTGCTACATTTAATGCGAAGAACTCCCGAGCAATCCAGTTTGTCAGTCACCTCGTGTTGCGTCGGCAGACTGGTGAAAAGTGTTGTCTTCTTTGTTATCACCTTGATGTTCCATTTCCTCAGTAACTGTCGCAATTTTTGACTTAGTACACATGAGCGCAGGCATATCCACTCTTGATCGTCCTCCTGATTACTAATCGAATTTTCCTAGAATACGCGTTGAAATCTGCTCTTTATGACACCTGCATTACTTTCTATAATTTCGCTGGGATGACAAGGCAAATCCGAGTCCATTTGTCCAACTCCTCGTCCCAGAACTCAGTGTCCGTCAGCCTTAAGCTTCTGATTATCAAGCCCATCAGTATTCGCATCTCCAGGCCGTTGATATAATGAGAGTGAAAATTAAGGATTATTCTCGCATAGGAATTTTTTCGGAATAGTCTCTTCATATGTCCCGTTGGAGCGCGTGACTTCAATATTCAGAAAAGAATGTTGTTCATCTTCCTCTAACTCCATTGCGAATGTAATTTATTCATAAAGTTGGTTAATAAATTGAGGAATTAATTTAAAATTTCCTTATCATGCGAACAAAGTGCAAAGTAGTTATCCAAGTATCGCATAAGCACTCTTGATTGGAGATATTTCTTAAAATTTTCCCAACACTAAAATATTTACTGAGTGTGATTGTTATTTATATTGCGATTGAAGTTACATGTTATTTTAACCTCAAAACACGGACAAATAACTCTCACAAATGTTACGTAAGCACTGAATTATTGAAGACTATACATGGTCCGGAAAGGACTTTTACCCGTAATACTTATTGTCAAAACTAAACTAGTTTATTACACTCGTTAGATTTATTCAGTGATATCCGTGAGCTTGAAGTTATGGGGTAACTATATTTTTGGAAGACAGGCCAAAGCTGTCTTGTCAGAAAGAATGGGGAGAATGATTCGCCCGTTTACAA